CAGGATGGGGTGCGGGGGGTGCTTAGGGGAGGGAGAAGAGTGCACAGAGCAGGATGGGGTGCGCAGGGAAAGGAGAGGGTGGGGGGTTGCACAGGGAAGGGGGATAAGGGGGGGCACAGAGCAGGATGGGGTGCTGGGGGTGCACAGCGATTTGGGGGGTGCACGAGGGTCGCACAGGACCCCAGAGGTGCACAGGGAAGGAAATAAAGGGGTCACAGAGCAGGATGGGGTGCTGGGGGTGCAGGATGGGGTGCTGGGGGTGCACAGGGAAAGGAGGGGGTGGGGAGATGCACTGGGAAGGGGGATAAGGGGGGGCACAGAGCAGGATGTGGTGCTGGGAGGGCACAGGGATTTGGGGGGTGCACGAGGGTCACACAGGACTCCGGGGGTGCAGAGGGAAGGGGATAAAGGGGTCACAGAGCAGGATGGGGTGCTGGGGGTGCACAGGGAAAGGAGGAGGGTGCAGAGGGGGTGCACAGAGCAGCAGTGGGTGCTGGGGGTGCACAGGGTTTTTGGGGGGTCACACAGGACCCCGGGGGTGCACAGGGTGGGTGGGAGCCAGGGCTGCAGGTGGGTAAAGGCAGTGGCACAGAGGGTGGGTGAGGTTTGCAGGGGGTGCTGGCACCCACGGGGGCCTCGTGGCCGCCCTTCCACGCTCCCCCTGTCCCTCCCCAGGGCCCCCCCATCCCGCTGCCACGCTGGCACTGCGCCCCATGGACGGCGTGTTCCTGTCCCCCAACGAGGATGAGTTCGTGGGCAGGATCTCCGAGGAGCTGGAGCACTTCATGGAGCAGGGGCAGCACCACAGGTGGGGGCCTGGCTGGGGCAGGGGGGTGCAGGGGGGTCCCTGTGTGACCTGACCCTCTCCCTGCCACCCTCTGCGGTCCCTGGGTGAGGGCAGGTGTCCCTCCAGGGGTGTCGTGACTCTTGTTTTGCATTTTCTGGGGTGAAAGCAGCAGCATTTGGAGCCTGGCTCCAAGGTTTGTGTGGCTCAGAACTTCCCTGTGGGCCAGGGATCAGTGCAGGATCTGCCATGGGCCCTTCTTTGTTCCCACTCCCTGTGGGCACTGGTGGCTTTTACACCCTGCATTTACCCCGACCTACCCCCTGATCCAGTGACCTTTGAAGCCCCTGAGGTGGCCAAAAAAAGGGTGCTGGGCAGGAGCAGGGCTGGGATTGCTCAGTTCAGCTCCCTGCCAGCTTGTGATGACCTTCAAATATTTGTTTCCCTGCTTTTGTTTTATAAACCTTTGGCAGGGAAGTCTCCTGGGCAGTTGTCAAACACTCGGGAAGGAAACTGAAGTGGGAAAAAAACCTTCTGGATGCAGGGAAATTGAGTTGTTGATTTATCCATTCATGTTTTGCTGCTGGGTTTTGGAGCACACTCGGAGTGGGAGGAATGGGACCAGTAGCAGCATTCTGCTGGTGCTTCCCAACCTTTCCCCCATGGATGTAGGCCAGGACCTGGGATAAGGCATTCCCAGCTGCCCCATGCTCCAGTGCTGCATGCAAAGAAAGTGTGTCTGGCTCCACATCTGGGATGGAGAAGGGATTTGGGCTCTTTTCATAAAGTCCTGCTTGGCTTTTGGGCTCCAATTTAAGCCCTGGACTGGGACTGACTTGGGAGAGAGGTGGTTAAATTTTTGCTTCGTTTCCATCCTTTTCCCTCCTGCAAGTTGCTGGTGCCCTGAGCCCTCCCTGTCTTTCCAGGGTGCTCCTGTTCCCCCCTCTGTCCAGTCGCCTCCGGTACCTGATCCATCGGACCGTGGAAAACATGGATTTGTTGAGCAGCTTCTCGGTGGGGGAAGGCTGGAGGAGGAGGACGGTCATCTGCCACTCAGCTGTGAGGTTGGTGGGGTTGGGCTGGTGCTGCTTCTCCTGGGGCTTTGTGGAAGCTGACAGGAATCCTGGAATGGTTTGGGTTGGAAGGGACCTTAAGGGACCTTGAGGCTGATCCAGTTCCATCCATGGGCAGAGACACCTCCCACTAGCCCAGGTTGCTCCAAGCCCCGTCCAGCCTGACTTTGGACACTTCCAGGGATCCAGGGGCAGCCACAGCTCCTCTGGAAATTCCATCCCAGCCCCTCACTGCCCTCACAGCTGAGAATTCCTTCCCAATATCCCATCTAACCCTCTGGCAGTGGGAAGCCATTCCCTGTGTCCTGTCCCTCCATCCCTTGTCCCAAGTCCCCCTCCAGCTCTTGGAGCCCCTTCAGGCCCTGGAAGGGGCTCTCAGGTCTCCCTGGAGCCTTCTCTTCTCCAGGTGAACCCCCTCAACTCTCCCAGCCTGGCTCCAAGGCAGAGGGGCTCCAGCCCTTGGATGGATCCCAAAATTTCCATGGTGTTTCTCCGTGGGGTCTCCTTTACCAACGGCATCTTCCAGCCCTACCAGAGCGAGCAGCACTTTTCCCCGATGCTTTTCCTCCTTTTCCCCTGGCAAACACCACGTCCCCCGGGTGTCGTTCCGTGTTCCCCTCGCTCACATCTCCCCGTTCCCTTTGCTCCCAGGCTGCCCAGCGAGACCAGTGACCCAAAGCCCGGCCCCACCCCGGCCCGGCCCCACCGCCCCGCACAGCCCTGGGGCCGGGGGGGCCGGGGGGCCCGGCCCAGGCTCGGAGGGGACACCCATGGGGACACCTCCCGGGCCTGTGTGGGCTCTGGCAGGATCACCAGGCCCCCCAGGAGGAAGCCAGACAAAGCCCTGTACGTGCCCAAGGTGACGAGGAAGAAGGCGAACTGGAGGGAGCGGGACAGCCCCGGAGAAGCCGGAGGGGACGCGGCGCAGGGAGATGAAATCTGCCCCAAAAATTCCACGGGGGACGCCCGGGAGGAGCTGGGCAAGTCTGGAGAAGGCCCAGGGGGTGTCCCCGTGGCTCTTGGAAAGCAGCAGGAGCCCGGTGAAGGAAGTTTTTCGGGAAAAACTGACGCTGACCCCCACGCTGAGCGTCCTCCGTGCGGTACAGTCCCATCCTTAGGGAATAGCAACGATTCCTCCGAGCAGGAAAGTCGGGATAAAGACTGTTGTGATTCCCTTTCTTCTGGGCACAGTAAACCCCCACCTTCCAAGGCAGAAGAGCAAGGTCTGAGCCGTGACAACACTGTTGTAGCAGAAGGCAGCGAATTCCTGCGGGACGGAGACCAAACCAGCGGGAATGCCGGAGCGCTGGAGAGTGGGAAAACCTCCCTGCTGGAAAGCCGTGGTGGCAGCTCCTGTCCAGACCCGGCTGTGGTGCTGGAAAACCAAGATAAGAGCAGTGCTGCTGCCAAGAGCCTGGAGAGCAGCGGGAACCTGCCAGCACCTGCAGAGCAGGGCAAGGTCTCCGGGAATTCCTCCACGCTGGAAAGCCAAGATCGGGAGCGCCCAAGTGCGGAGCAGAACCCCCTGGAAGCGCAGAGGGAGCCTCTGGCTGCGCCTGAGCTGGGTGTTGGTGGTGACCCATCAGCTCCTGAGGAGCAGGGGGAGCACTGGGTGGATGCTCCGGGGCAGAGCCGCAGTGGGAAGGTGCTCCTGGAGGAGGAGGAGGAGGACAAGGAGCCCTCGGATGTGGCCGATGTGCCCTGGAGGGAGCTGCAGGAGGAGAGGGGGAGCAGGCAGGAGCAGAGCAGCCTGGAGGACGACTGCACTGCAGAGCTCTTGGCAGAGGTAGAGTTTGGCCGCGGGGAGGGCAAATTTTGGGGGGGAAACTGGTGGCCGAGGGAAGGGAACGTCCCGTGGGAGGAGGGTCCCTGTGCTGGGAATGTCCTGGTGGAGAGAGCAATTTGCAGCGGCCGAGGGGAGGGCTGTGCTTGGAAGGGAAACCCTGAGGTTTTAATACAATTTATTGGTGATTGTTCCTCCCGAATCTCCTCAGATCATGGGGAATCTGACGGTGAAGGACATCAGCATCGAGAGGATCAGCGTGGACTATTCCAGCTACGGCCAGGCCCAGGTCAGCGAGGGGGATTTTGGCCACGTCACCGAGATCTACGACTTCCCCTCATCCCTGAAAACGGAGGATCTGATGGAAATGTTCTCAGATTTCCAGTGAGTACCCCCCTGAGCTCAGGGAGCAGCATCCAGGTCGGAATCTGCAGCAGAACTGGGTTAACCCTGAGTTTTAGTTTCCCCTTCGTGTCTTACACCGTTTCCGAGCCTCAAAGGAGGCTTTTCCTGCTGTTCACACGGAATTTAAAGCCCAGCTGGTCCTCCAGGGCTCTGTCACACGCACAGTTATTGACATCCAGGCTCCTCCTGGCTCCAGCCCAACTCTTCAGGTGATTTTAGGAGCTGCCTGAGCGGAGTGAGGTTCTTCCCTCAGTGTTTGCAAGGAAAAAGGGCTCGATCCTGCTCTGGGAGGTGAGATTTGTTGTGCAAACACCTGGAGTGAGGTTGGAGCAGTGGCAGGAGCAGGACAAAGTTCAGTGATAACGGGGTTGAGTCCAGCCCTGAGTTCCTCTCACTCCTGCCAGGTGGATAAAGGCCCCTATCCCTGTTTTCCCTCTCCATCCTCCTCCCTCGGGATAATGAGTGGATTAGATGGGAACATTCACTGGGGATCCCTTGGATTAAACCCCCTGAATTACATTTAATTCTGTTTGTAGTTTTTCCACTTGCTGGGAGTGCAGCTGAGCTGAAAATTGGGGGGGGGTCCCACCCGAGCAGTCACCTGCTCCCAAACTCCCATTTTCCACTGACTTTATTGGATTTTCCCGTCAGTCTCTTCACCCCGAGCTTTGTAAACCACTTTTATCAAACATTTCCTTGTTATTGTTGTGTCTCAGCAGTCAGGGGGGTGTTTGCAAAGCACTTCACAAATGACAATATTTCTGTGCTGCAAGACACAGTCCCCTGAAATTGAGGTTGATTTTTTGGCCGGGGTTTATTTTTTTTTTTTTTTAAGAGGAAAAAGGAGTTTTGTGGTCTTGAAAGGGGCACTTTTAATGTGCTCTCCTCCTTCTTTTCCTTCCCTCTTTTAAAATGGGGATAATGCTTCGGAAAGCACCAGCTGCCTCCATGAAAATAAATCCAATAAATACTAAATGCTAATAAATAAATAAATAATTAAAATTACTAAATATTCCTGGCAGCTCCAGGGGGGGGTTGCTGGGGTTTATTGTGGGTTTATTTTTCTGTATATTAATTAATATTTTATTGCCTTTCAGCGAGAGTGGTTTCAAAATCCAGTGGGTGGATGACACACACGCCCTGGGAATCTTCTCCAGCCTTTCCACAGGTATTTGGGGGTGGGATTGGAGCTCCTGGGGTGTTTTCCTTCCTGTTCTCTTCCAGCTGGGAAGGATTTGGAGCCTTGGGAAGCTGGAATTGCTGTGGTGCTGTGTGGAAACTCTGCCTTGCCAGAGCAGCGGGTTTTTAATTGCCTTGGATAAAAGATAAAGAATCGGGACATTTCTGTGCTGCTCTCCTGGAAATTAATGGTTTTCCATCTTTTTTTTCCTCCTATAACTGGACAAAACTCTTCCAAACACTCAGGAACCTCCCAGGGAGTGGGGTGGCACCAAAATTCTGGGAAAAACTGCCCTTTTTTTGGGGACAAAGCCCCCACCCCGAGGTCAGAGAGGTTCCCACCCAGCCCACGTGGATCCCAACAGCTCCTGGCCTTTTCCTGGCACTCATCTGACAACATCAAAACCCTTCAAAAAGAACATATTGATGTTTTCTGGGGTGGTTTTGTATCACATTCTGATTTTTTGGATGGTTCTTTGCAGCATCTCAAGCCCTGGGCCGACGTTACCCCTGTCTGAAGATCCGGCCCCTGGTCCACGCCAGCAAACAGTCCAAGCTCAGGGCCCTGCAGCGACCAAGTAAGACAAGGCTTCAAAATTCACAGTATTTCTTTTTTTTTTAGCTAATATTGGTATGTTCTTCTTAATTTTTTTAATGGTAATTTGCGTGTTAATTTTTTTTTGTTATTTCAGGGTTTTTTTTTTAATTTTTTTTGTTATATTTTTATGGGTTTTTTTTAAAATTTTTTTACCTTTTTTTTACATTATTTACGTTTTTTACTTTTACTGTTTTTCCCAACTGTTTTTAATTCTTTTCACTTTTTTCTTTTTTTTACTTTATTTTACTTTATATTACTTTATTTTATGTGCTTATTTTACTTCATTTTACTTTCTTTTACATTTTTACTTCCTTTTATATTTTTAGTTTAATTTTACTTTATTTTTCTCCTTTTTTCATTTTTCTTCATTTTACTTTAATTTACATTTTTACTTCATTTTACATTTTTACTTTATTTTACTTCATTTTACTTTATTTTACATTTTTACTTTCTTTTACATTTTTAGTTTAATTTTCCTTTATTTTCCATTTTTTCTTTTTTTTCTTTTATTTTTCATTTTTCCTTTATTTTTCATCTTTCCTTTATTTTTCGTCTTTCCTTTATTTTTCATTTTTCCTTTATTTTTCATTTTTCCTTTTATTTTCCTTTATTATTTTTCTTTATAATTTTCCTTTGTTATTTTCCTTTATTATTTTCCTTTATTACTTTCCTTTATTATTTCCTTTATTACTTTCCTTTTTCCATTTCTTTCATTTTTCCCCCTTTTTCTTTTTTTCCCCCTTTTTTCCTTTCCCCCTTCCCCCTTCTTCTCTTCACTTCACCTTTTTTTATGCTACCTTTTCCCCTTCTAAAATTAACATTACACCTCGTGGTTGGAATCACTTTATTCAGTACCAGGTGAAGGAAACCAAAATCTGGTGAAGCTGAGCCATATGAACATTATTTTACTGATTTCACCCCCTCAAAAATCAGATTATGATCAGTTCTGTTCGCAGGAAAGAAACGCCAGGAACCTTTTTTAGCAGCAGAGACTTGCAATGTCCAACTCCTGTTATTTGCCAGTTCACTGCAGTGGAAACAATCCCAAAATTAATGCTCTAAAGCCACAAGTTCCTGAGTTTTTAAGAACTTCTGGAGGCAAGGGACACGTCCAAAAATGAGATTTCTTTGCTGTCTCCCCTTCGTTGTGAATCAGGCTGTAAACTCCTCCCGGGGAACGTTAGAAATTCCATTTGCATTCCCTTTAAATTGAATTTTTCCACGTAAAAATTTGGATTTTAATGGGCTGAGAATGTCTCTTTTTTGTTTTTTTTTTTAAACTTTATTACTGAAACTTAAAAATAAAAAACCAACAACAAGCCAACCCCCTTTGCTGTCTGGATAATAACTCTGCAAACAGTTGCTGATAAAAGATTAGGTAATTCCCAAATCCGGATTCCTGGTCAAAGTTTGGAATATTCACCCCTTCCACTGGTAACAGGTCAGGTGTCTCCCAAAAAATGGATGTCCCAAAGCAGCTGGAATATCGAGATATTATTTAAAATGCAGATTATTTTTTTTCCCTGGTTTCTGAGGATTTAGGAAAGACTCTTCCCTTTTTCCTGGTTTCTGAGGATTTAGAAAGGGATCCTTCCTTTTTTCCTGGTTTCTGAGGATTTAGAAAGGATTCTTCTTTTTTCCTGGTTTCTGAGGATTTTCCTTTTTTCCTGGTTTCTGAGGATTTTCCTTTTTTCCTTATTTCTAAGGATTTAGAAAGGGATTTTCCTTTTTTCCTGATTTCCGAGGATTTATAAAAGGATTCTTTCTTTCTTGGTTTCTGAGGATTTAGAAAGGAATTCTTCCCTTTTTCCTGGTTTCTAAGGATTTAGAAAGGGATTATTCCTTTTTTCCTGGTTTCTGAGGATTTAAAAAGAATTCTTCCTTTCTTCTGGTTTCTGAGGATTTTCCTTTTTTTCCTGGTTTCTGAGGATTTAGGAAAGACTCTTCCCTTTTTCCTGGTTTCTATGGATTTAGAAAGGGATTATTCCTTTTTTCCTGGTTTCTGAGGATTTAAGCTTCTGGCTTTGCTTAGTTGAAACAAAAATCAAGCTTTGCTCAGTTGAAATGAAAAAAATCCAACTTTGCTGTGGGGGGATAAACCGGGATGAATTTTGCCCGGAATGGTTGGGATAAGCAGTTCCTGGAAGAGAAAGGGGGGGGAGAACAATTTTCTCCCACAATAATAATAATAATTAAAATAAAAAGACCTGGAGAGCTTTATTGTGGTTAAATAACTTCATATAGAGTTTCCATCTGGGATGTGTGGAGTTGTCTCATTCCAAAGGGACAGGGAAGAGATGGATTTGCTGCATCCAAGCGCCCAGTTGAGCGTTTTTCCCCCTGTTTTTTCCCAGAACTCCTTCACCTCGGGAAGGAACGGCCCCAGACGGACACGGCCGTGGCCAGGAGACTCGTGTCCCACGCCCTGGGCTGGAGGCACAGGCAGCAGGAAGGCTCAGGAACTGAAGTTTTCCAGCTGGAAACCTCGGACCAGCAGGAATGAAACAAAAAAAAAGCACCTCGGCTCCCCCTCCCTGTCCCCTCCATCCATCCCCCTCCCCCAAAAAAAAACTGCTGTAAAGATGAGCATGGCTGTGCTGTCCAACTGCATGTGGAGGTGCCATGGGAGGGGGGTTCTCCTTGGGATCAGCACCATCCTCCTGGAGCTGGGGAGGAAGGGGGAAGTTGAGTGTTCGTGGGATTTTTGGAGCACTTTTTTTTTTGTTTCCAAGCCCCCCCCCCGATTGCTCCCCTGCAGGAATGAAAGGAGGGGCTTTCCAGAAAAGCCTCCTCTGGGTTTGGAGGAGGAAAAAAAACCCAAAAAACCAAAAAAATAATTCATTAAGAGTTAATTCATTAAGAGTTAATTCATTAAGAGTGAGGGAACTGTGTTTTGTTGGCCAGAATTCCAGCTGGGGGTAAGAACAGGAGTTCAAAAAAGCTGTTCCACGTTTATACCTTGTTGTAATGTTATTGTTGAGATATCCCATAAAACTGCCAGGCAAGTGAGTTCAGGGGTTTTTTTTCCATATTTACACAGCCTGGAGTTGCCCTGTTAAGCAAGGAAAAGTTGCCACGTGCTCCTTAGGAAAAGAAAAAGCAGGACTTGCCTGTTCTGGTTGGCCCAGAGCCTGGTTTTAAGGTGCTGGAAAACCCTTTGGCTCTGCTCGTGCTCCAGGTCTTGAGGGAAAAGATGGAGTTTTCCAGCTGAAGAGGAGGCTAAAAAATAACCTTTGCCAGGTGATAAATGGCCTCAGCAGGATAATTCTGCAGCCTTTGAGCCTCACAACGCCCCTGTGAGGTAGATTTTGGGGAGCACAAGTTGGCAGCCAGTTCTAATCCCCCTGTGGATTAATCAGCTCTAAAATTCAGCTGCTTGTAGAAGTCTTCCATACAGAGGGAAAAAACCCCCAATACAACCAACACTAAAGTACCAGGAATTGTGAGCTTTCACAGAGTAGAAATCCACAAGTGGCATTTAAACCATTTTTTTTGTATGGTTTTGTTTTTGTTTTTTTTTTTCTGGGTCAAAAGGTTTTTATTCAAGTAGCTGTGCCTGGAGATGTGGAGCGAGGTGTGTCCTCAAACAAACAGAGGAGCACGGGGGTAGCACCATGAATTTCCAGTGGGGCCGGTGCAGATCCCTGGGGATGAGAGCCAGGAATTCCCTCTGTAAGGAAAAGCCAGGAGACAATGCCTTAAAAAAACTAATTCATCCTTGGAAGAGAAGACGGGGGATGTCCAGCCTGGGAGGCGAGAGCTGGGCGGGTGTGGAGTTCATGGGGTGGATGTTGGGATGGGAATTCCCAGTTTCCAGCGGCCTCACCGCCAGGAACCTGCAAAGTTCTGGGTGTCCGAGGCGGGTGGAGGAGCTCCAGGGAGCTCCAATGCTCTGTTGGAATCTTGGAATCTGTTCTGCTCCTCTCCCAGAGGCCGCTGGGTTGGACTGTTGGACCCGAGAGTTTCGCTGCGGAATTAAATTATGCTTTACACTGTTCTGCTCGGAAAAAAAAAAGCTGCTCCTTTTTTTTTTCCCCCCTTTTTTTTTTCTTTTGTGTGTGTGTGTGTGGTTTTGTTTTTTTTTTTCACTTTCCTTTCTTTGTATTTGTTTGCTGAGCTGGAGTCTGAGGAGGAGGAGGAGGAGCTGTGCAAGAAGCAGCAGCACAAACGTTGGGTGCGTGGAAAAGAGCTTGGAGATGCCAAATCAAGGCCTTGAGAGCGAAGGGTGAAGCCACTTTTTGGGGTTGTTGGCGCCCAAACGAAGGCAAGGCGGCTGTGAGGGGACACAGAGTGGAGGGAGGAACCTTTGGAGGAGGTTGGAGCGGGGAGGACACGGAGCCAAGGAGGGTTTGGGGCTCCGGGGCCGCAGGAGGGCTGGGGAGCGAAGGCGTCTGCAGGAGAGAATTCACCTGGAGATTCGGAGCTGGAGCGTTTCCTCGATTTCCTGGTGGTGCAGTGGTTTGGGAAGGAGCAAGGCAGGAGTCCTGCCTTCTTTAAATAGTGGGGAGGGGGGGTCCCATTACCGGGTGGCCACTCTGTTATTTGTGAGTCCGCTGAAGTGGTCGAATTTCTGCTCCGTTTCCTCGCTGAAGGAACCACCTGGGGGGGCACAGAGGGGGCACAAAGGGGGCACAGGGTGAGCAGGGAGGGGCAGAGGCAGCTCAGGGCACAAAGAGCAGGCAGAGAACAGCGGAACCTGCTGGGGAAGGGAGGGGCTCAGGGATTCTCCTGGGCTAATTAATTTGAATTTTAATTGAATTTTACCATAACTGGAACAACCGGTGTTAAAAACACTCTTATCTTAGAAAGCCCCAAACTTATTTCCATTTTAAAATGGTCCTGATAATTGACTATTTCCATTTTAAAATGGTCCTGATAATGGACTATTTCCATTTTAAAATGGTCTTGATAAGTCACACGTTTAAACTGGTTTGCCTTTGATATTTCTGAGATAAAAATTCTGAACGATAATGTTTTATATTATTCTGAGAGAACACAGAGTTTCCCCTGATATTCCAGCGACAGCAGAGCAGTTTAATGCCTGGATTGAGCCCCACCTATTCTTATTTCTTTTTTTCAAGAGGGGAGAGAAGCTTTGGGGTCTGAAGAGACTCAGCACCAAAGAGTTTGAGTCTGGGGAGAAGGTGTTTGCCAAGCCAGACCCACACAGACACCAGAGCTTTCCTGGGGAGGCAAAACCACTCATTTCCTCGTCCAGCTGGGGCATCTTTATCCCTGTTAGGCCCGAGCTGAGGGGTTTAAGCCTGGCCCAAGGCCAGCAGGGCTCTCACCTATGTGGCAGCTGTACATCCAGATGCGCTGCCCGTCGTAGCGGCTCCGGCACTTCATCACGTTGTTGGAATAATCCGACTCGGCCACTTCGTAGTTGGGGTTGATGACGACCTGGGGAGGGAGGGGAGAAGCACAGGGGGAGGTTATTTTACAAAGGAGGGCAGCAGAGTCAGCTGGTTTGTAACAAACCGAGGTTTTTACAGTGGGAAAAAAAATCATTCGCTTTGCGGGGAAACGGGAGCTGCTCGGTTAAAGCAGGGCAGACACGGAATCCAGGATGGTTTGGACTGGAAGGGACGTTAAAACTCATCCAGTTCCACCCCCTGCCATGGGCAGGGACACCTTCCACTAGCCCAGGTTGCTCCAGCCTATCCTTGGACACTTCCAGGGATGGGGCAGCCACAGCTTCTCTGGGAATTCCATCCCAGCCCCTCCCCACCCTCCCAGGGAGGAATTCCTTCCCAATATCCCATCTAACCCTCTGGCAGTGGGAGGCCATTCCCACTTGTCCTGTCACTCCATCCCTTGGAAATAGTCTCTCTCCATGTTTCTTGTTGGCTCCTTCAGGTCCTGGAAGGCCACAATTGAGTCACTCCAGGCTGAACAATCCCAGTTCTCTCAGCCTTCCCTCCTGGCAGAGCTGCTCCATCCCTCTGACCAACTAAGACCCCCAAAATCTCCCCTCCAACCCCTTTTTTCCATTTCACACAGCGCAGACGAAAACAATTCCTCTCCCTTCCCTCCCCTCCAGAGCAAGGGGCTGTTTTTAGAGCCAAAGAATTCCCCCCACTCCCCCCCTAAGAGTGCCCAGACGGAGGCACAGCCTGAGCTCCTGCAAACACCCCACAAATAACATGGTTTGATCCCCAAATTCAGGGAGTGTTGCTCACAACCAGCTCCAAACCAGGACACCCGTGGAATGTTGTGCATCTGGAACGTGCCAACAGCATCAGCTGCTCCTGGGCTGGTTGGGACATGGAATTTTGAAGGCTGTAAGACGTGGTTGTTGGCCCTGATTTGTCACTTGGAGGTGTGTGTTGTAGGGAATCCTCTCCCTTTTGGGCATCCCGGGAATATAATCTCTTTATAATCAGGAGTAGGAGGTGTACAAATAAACAGCTTTAGGTAAACTCTTGTCAGGAGGGGTAAGATAAAAGCCACAGGAGTGCCTCCAACCCTCTTCTCCTCACCTGGAAAAGGTAATCTCCGGGTGGGACGTCGGTGATGTCGATCCACTGGCAGTCGATGTCGTGCCGATACACGTCCCAGCAGCCCACGGTGATCCCCTGCTCCCCAAAATTGGCACACTCGTACTGCTTCTGCACATCTGAGCCAGAAAAAGTTCAAGGAACAAAGTGTTACACCCCTGGCAAGGCGGGCTGGGTGTTCCCCTGAGGAATTCCTGGTTGTTCCCAGCTCTCCTGGGGATGGGATACGGGGGCAGTGTTTGGGATGAGATTTAACACAGCGGCGTCTTCGCTGCACAGGGGGAGCTGCCACCTTCCAACCTCATCACCTGGAGGCACATTTTGGAATTCCTCGCTTGACATGGGGCAGAAAAAGCACAGTTTGGGTTTTGGGGCAGCTCCGAGTAGGGACGGAGGGAATTGAGAGTGACCATCCATCCATCCACCCACCCATCACCTCAGGGCTGGTTTCTGGCTCCTGCCAGGCCACTTTTAGCCCTTGGAAGCCCCGGGGACAGGGATAAATTCCCAGCTCCCAGGGCTCTGGCACGCACCTGCCTCACATTCCGTGTCCTCCAGGCAGAAACTGGCTTTGTGTCCCTCGGCCACCTTGGTCCCATTGAGGTTCAGGAGGTCGTAGTGGGTGAAAACCTCCATGCTGTGGTAGTGCCTGAGGGTCACAGACAGGGACAATTATCCTTAGAAATGAAATAAAAAGGGAATTAAAGGCAAAACAGCCCTTTAATTACCAGGTCGAAAGGGCTACAGGAAGTGGAGTGGGAGAAACCACAGCCAGGGAATGTTCCCCTGGGGATAATCCTGTGTGGCACCATCACCCATCCCAGCCATGGGAATGTCTATCCCAGCTCTGGGAATGTCTGTCCCAGTTCTGGGAATGTCCATCCCAGCTCTGGGAATGCCTGTCCCAGGTATGGGAATGTCCATCCCAGCCATGGGAATGTCTATCCCAGCTCTGGGAATGTCCATCCCAGCCATGGGAATGTCTGTCCAATGATAGGAATGTCTATCCCAGCTCTGGGAGTTGCACAGCTCAGCTCTGAGTGAGCCAAAGGCACAGACAGGCCCTAAATCAGAACCAATTGCTTAAGAATTAAAAAAAAAAAAAAAAAGAAGAAGAAGAAAAAAAAAAGAGGAAAAAAGTGCATAAATCCTCTCCTTTCCAGCTGTAAAAATAATCAAGCCTTAAAAACTTCCTATTGCCATAATTGCATGTGGATTTACAGATGAAGGAGGAGTGAGGAAGGAAGGGGAGGAAATTTTTCCTTTTTACCTCCTCCTGCCTTTCCCCTGACTTAGAAAAAAAAAACCCCAACCAAACACATAAATTCCCATCAGCCAGAAGCGAATCACTTTTCACTCCCTGCTCCAGGACTTTCCCGTTTTTGTCCTGCTTCCACATCCAAAGGCAGCCGAACAGGAGCTCGCAGTGCTGGAGGGAAGGCAGAGGCACAGGGCTGGGCATTTGGGGCACATTTGGCTGCCTCTGCTCGGAGCTGGAGGCTCTCAGGTCTGACTCAGATGCTGAACTATGTCTGAACCACTCCGAGGGGTGTTTGCATTCTGCTGTTTACAGACTGGAAAGACTGAAGAGGAGCTGAGTTCATCCTCCTCCATCTGAACAGAATCCACTTCTGAAGCACAGACGGCTCGTGGCCTTTCCCTCAGCCTTTCCCTGTCTCACCTCACTTCCAAGGGCCCCCTCAGCCCCGTCTCACCTCGCTCAGCTCTTTATAAAGACTACAAAGAACTCTTAGATTTGAGAATATTCTTATGCCAGGGGCAGGACAGGAGCTGTGCACTGAGTCACTTCTCTGCCTTTTACCCCAAAGGAGAGAAAAATCAGCCTTGTACTGGCCATCATTCCACAAGCAAAGCACCTGGATGGCTTCCAGCTCCTTTTCCTCCCTTGGTTCAGCTGAAATTCTTTCCCCCTCAAAAGTGATGCATTTATGGGGGTGAATTTACTGTTGGTTAAAAAATAAGCACAAAACCATCTCCCAGCTGTTTTAGTGGAGTGGGGATGCATTTAAAAATGCAGAATTGACAGGATTTTGGGGTCCTTTTCCAGGGGAGGGAAGCAGCTCAGGTGGCTGCACCTTTCTACACGTGGTGGGTGTGTGGAAAGATGGGTCCTGTCTGTACATACGAAGGTATCACAGGATCATGGGTTGGAAAAGACCTCAAAACTCATCCAATTTGAGGAGTATCAGGATCTGTTGACCCGGGGGCAGCTTCTCTTGGTGTTGAGGGGAATTCAGAGATCACAGATTCCCAGACTGGTTTGGGTTGGAAGGGACCTTAAAGCTCATCCAGTTCCATCCCCTGCCATGGGCAGGGACACCTTCCACTGGCCCAGGTTGCTCCAACCTGGCCTTGGACACTTCCAGGGATGTGGCATGGATACAGTGCCCTCGGCCAGACACCTCTGCCAAGGAAAGCTCCACACTTGCCTTGTTTCTATCCCATTCTCAACAAGGTGCTTTCCCTGCTCTCGGGGGGTGACAGTGACCCCGGCACACATCACAGCCCTGCACCCACAGCCCCAGCACCTCCTCCCCGTGCTCCCGCAGCAGGACAGCCCCCCGGGCAGCAGGAAGGGGTGGGGGGAGAGCCCAGCTGAGGCACCCACCGGTGGCAGTCGTGCCAGACCCAGGCGTGGCGGCCGTTCTTGGGGCGGAAGTCGGACTGGCCGTTGTTGTGGATCTGGGAGGAGAAGCGCAGCAGGCGCCGGTACCCCGAGGTGATGGAGGTGTTGGCAGCAGAGCTGGCCAGGCAGTTCTCCTCCAGGGCACACTGCAGCATGAACATGGGCCTGTCCTCCAGGTAGGCCGTCTGCTCCACCAGCTCCGCGTTCAGCACCAGGTCGGGGGCGGCTGGGGGGAAGGAAGGGGTTAAATGGGCTAAAAACACCCCACGAGTGTCTGCCAGAGGTGAAGGTCAGCCCCTTCCTCACCCTGTGCTCCTCAGCCTCGGCAGCAGCAGTTTGAGTCACGGAATCACAGGATGGGTTGGGTTGGAAAGGACTTTAAGCTCATCTAATTCCCACTCCCCTGCCATGGGCTTGGGTTGGAAGGGACCTTCAAATCATCCAGTGCCACCCCCTGCCATGGGCAGGGACACCTTCCACTAGCCTAGGTTGCTCCAAGCTGGCCTTGGACACTTGCAGGGATGGGGCAGCCACAACTCCTCCCCACCCCCAGAGGGAAGAATTCCTCCCCTGCATCCCACCTATCCCTGCCCTATTCCTGCAGTTGGAGTAGGAAGAGCTGCGGGTGTAACTATTCACCATATGTGAACAGCTGACCTTAAAGCTCATCTCATTCCCACTTCCCTGCCATGGGAAGGGACACCTTCAACCATTCCAGGTTGCTCCAACCTGCCCTTGGACACTTCCAGGGGATGGAGCAGCCACAGCTCCTCCGGGCATAAGAATTCACCCCTATTTTGCCACATCCAAGGCACAACACAGGTCGCCCCATTCCCTCTGGGAATCTCGGGGCAGACACCGGTGATCAGGTGCAATAAACCCCGAGTTACTCACTCTCTGAGCAGGACACCCCAGCTCCAAACCTGCCCCCTCCCCTGGGGCAGGACACGTGGGCCCCGTCGTGCCGGCAGTGGGCCAGCGACATCTCCGTCCCCGAGCACTTGACCCCGCTCATGACCACGCTGTCGGCGCTCACGTCCCCGTGCCAGTACCAGGTTTCCTGGGCAGAAAGGCACAAAAAAAGGCGTCTCACACACTCCTGAGGGTTCAGTGGGCTCTTTGAGGAATATTCACCCCCCTGTAACCTGGGATTCTCCCTCCGGTGAAGGTCGGTGTGAGAGCCCACGCCGTGCAGGAGGAGGATCTCGGTGAACTCAGGGAAGCAGAAGGCTGATTGACCCAGATTTTAACCCCAGCCCCATATTCCCCACCCTAAACATCTCAGCAACATTCAGCAAATCTTTCTCCCTGTTTCTGAGCTGGTTTAAATCTCCCCTTGTTTTTAATCTCACCCTGACGAGTTCATCCCAGGGCTCTTGGAAGTCATCGGGGCTGTGCCTCTGGGAGAGGTGCCCAGCATTTAAACCACATCTGCCTTGTGACATCTGGGCACTTGGGAGGGCCACGAGCAATGCCAGGGGTTCTGCTTGCACAAGGAGGGGAGGCAGAGTTACAGCCATGCTGGAAATGCCAGTGGGAACAAGGAATTTGAGGAGTATCAGGACTAACAGGATCTGCTGACCCAGGGGAGCACCTCTTGGGGTTGAGGAGGATTCAGAGATCACAAAATCCCTGACTGGTTTGGGTTGGAAGGGACCTTAAAATCACCCAGTTCTACCTCCTGTCATGGGCAGGGACACCTTCCACCAGCCCAGGTTGCTCCAACCTGGCCTTGGACACTTCCAGGGATGGGGCAGCCACAGCTTCTCTGGGAAATCCATTCCAGGGCCTCACCACCCTCACAGGGAGGAATTTCATCCCAATGTGCCACCTAACCCTCCCTCTGGCAGTGGGAAGCCACTGTGTGTCCTGTCACTGCAGTTCCTGATGAAGTTCCCAGCTCCTCTTCATCCCCCAGTTACACCAAACCCACGGGAAACGTCACTTAATTAACTCACAAACTCAAACCCTGACGGCACAACTTTGGTGGACGGTGGGGGGCGGGGAGGGGGAGGAAGAAAGAACTTAAAAAATCCGATCAGATCTCTCAGTGTCAAAACTGGGAGCCCGTTTCCAGGAAAAGAAACCCCATGTGTGCCATGGCTCCCATGGCAGGAGGCTGTCTGGGAGCCCTGCGTGCAGCGCTGCACACACAGCCTGCCCTGTTCTGCACACTGGGGCTTTATGCTCCTGGAGCTGGGGCAGCATAAGGGCCTTTTCTGTTCCGAATTCCAGCAGCCTCAGCTAAAGGAAAAAATGTCTTGTTCCCCGCTGGACTCTCAGGGCTGTGCCAACAGAGCCAGGTCGGTGCTCAGGGATGTGGGTGTTCTCTGGGATCTGCAGGGGGGAAGCAGCTGGAGGAACCAGTTGGTGCAGGGGAATCCTTCCTGCTGGATTTCCAATCCCTTGGGGACCTGCAGATCCCCTCTCTGGCCATGAAAAATGGTTGGATTGGTTGGAATCTACTCATGACCCAGTGTGTGCCACGGGTTGTTGATCCCAGAATGGCCTGGGTGGGAGGGGATCCCAAAGATCTTCTTGTTCTACGGGTAGGGACACCTTCCACTAGCCCAGGTTACTCCAAGCCCTGTCCAACGTGGCTTTGGACACTTCCAGGGCTGGGGCAGGCACAGCTTCTCTGGGAAATCCTTTCCAGGGCCTCCCCACCCTCCTCCTGGACACTCGGTCACTGCTCAAAGATAAACTCAGGGAAACCTGAGCCTGGAGCAGGACAAAAACAACAGCTTTGCCCAGAGCTGCAGCAGCTCCTTCTGCTCCAAACCTCCCTCCTCGTGGCTCTTGTGCAGCGGGGTTTAACCCTCAGGGTCTCTCCAGCTCATGCCTGGAATTAGAGTGCTGCAGTTGGGGCTGGTTTTCTGGATAAACCTTCCTCCTCCTCCAGCATACCTAACCCATCCACAGGGGTACAAAACCAGGGAGGGGAGGGCTCAGGGGCTCACCTGGAGGGTGTCAGGTGCCACCATGGCCTTCTAAACCTTCCTCCTCCTCCTCCAGCATCTCCAAACCCACCCACCACAGACACCCAAAACCCAAGCAGGGGAGGGTTCAGGGGCTCATCTTGAAGGTGAGGTGTCAAAGTTCAACCCCATCTGCCAACACACCACCACAACCTCCTAAACCCTCCTCTTCCTCCTCCTCCACCTCCTCCTCCTCCAGCAGCCCCAACCCACCCACCCAAAAGGCAGGTTGGGGAGGGTTCAGGGGCTCACCTGGAAGGTCTGGCTGGCAAAGCCCAGCCCCACCATGGCCTCTTAGACCTTCCTCCTCCTCCTCCATCATCCTCAAACCCACTCCCAGACACCCAAACCCAGGTAGGGGAGGGTTCAGGGGCTCACCTGGAAGGCGTGGCTGGCAAAGCCCAGCCCCAGCTGCCAGCACACCATCATGGCCTCCTGAACCTTCCTCCTCCTCCTCTTCCTCCATCCTCCCCAAATCCACCCACAGACACCCTGGGGCTCACCTGGAAGGTGCCAACTGCTGACACACCACCATGACCTCCTAAATGTTCGTCCTCCTCCTCCAGCAACCCCAAACCCACCCCCAGACCCCCAAAACCCAGGCAGGGGAGAGAGAGTTCCTGGAAGGTGTAGCTGGCAAAGCCCAGCCCTACCACGGCCTCTTAAACCCTCCTCCTCCTCCTCCATCATCCCCAAACCCACCCCCAGACACCCAAAATTGCCCCCAGACACCCAAACCCCGGGCAGGGGAGGGTTCAGGGCTCACCTGGAAGGTGTGGCTGGCAAAGCCCAGCCCCACCACGGCCTCTTAAACCTTCCTCCTCCTCCTCCATCATCCCCAAACTCACCCCCAGACACTCAAACCCACCCCCAGAGACCCAAACCCACCCCCAGAGACCCAGACCCACCCCCAGAGACCCAAACCCACCCCCAGAGACCCAAACCCACCCCGA